ACTGCTGCAGCTGCTACTGCTACTGCGGCCACGTCGGCGAGGTATGGCTGTCCCTGCATCCATACGCTCTGTGCCAATGCTGCACTGACGGCAGTGTTGGGGAAGCCGCCCCATGATGTGTACGTACTTCAGGTTTTGGTGGGTGCCTTGAACCCTAAACCCCAAGCTCTGACCATTGTAGCCTCGGATTGCTGGTTCATAATGGAGTACAGAGTGGTTGTGTTATTTTGTTTTTTTGTTGGTAACTGCTCTCGGGGTTGAGCAATGCTGAAGGTTGCCAATCCACTTAGGAAGCCGACTGTCGCTCGTGTTCGATTATGTTTGGTTGGCTCAACGGCGGTTGGGAGTTTGAGGACAACAGTGGGCATTTTACGCCGTTTTACCATAGATACATTGCATTTCGGGGCATGGTCTTCGGGATTGGAAAACTCCTTGGGCTCCGAGCAAACCCACGGCCTGAAACCCTGAGCGCTGAAGCAGCAAGCACATAGTCACCCATCAAGGGAGCCGGTGCCAATTTCTGAAGCTCAAGCAACTTCTTCGGATTTTGGTCACTTTGAACCCCTGGGCCCATAACCGTAAACGTATGAGTAGAGTCCGCAGACTGAATTAGGTATTTCGGTTCGGGGATTCAAGCCCACTACCACTGCTGATTGTCATAGTGCTCCTAAGCCTTGTAGGGCGGCCCCAGCGCCTGAGCGCTAAACACTTAACTTCGCTAGTGTGGTGACAATGCCTGTTGTAGCAAGGTTGTATTTCATTTCAGTTTGTCGTTGTTTGCTCTGCCTCGTAAGCTCTGACGATAACCTCCTCCTACCCGCATGTCCTGAGATATCGTGAGATATATCGAGTCAAATTGAGGATCACAGGATGAGCCTTGAAAGGAAGAAGCTTTCGTTTGGCTTTGGAAATTGCACTGGTGATCAGGACGCCTTTGGAGATGAGTGCCCTCGTGTCGTCGTTGAAGGCTTGCCACAGGGCTCAGTACAAAAAGTGACACGATGTCCGATCCCGGCCCAGAGAGTCAGGAAAAGCGCGAAGAAGCCTTTCGCCCCCGTCCGCCCCGAAACAGTTGGGGGGGTGCGGGGGGGGGGGGGGGGNNGGGGGGGGGGGGGGGGGGGGCAGATGGCTGCTTTGGGCTGAGGTCGGCAACTTCGGGAAGCTGCGATCTTGTATCTACATCTGCCGCACTCTGGGGTTACCCATAGGCCCCGATTACCTTATAGGATTCTAAATAAACTACTATGGGGCCTATGGGTATCCTAGAACAATCACCCGAAACTGAGTCTTATTATTTAGGCGAGGGTGCGCTACAGCTGCTCGAAAGAAGGGGTCCTGCTGTCCTGCTGGGGGGCTCCTTAGTACTCGGGCCTTACTAGGTTCCTTGAGAAGCTTCTGCAGATCACAAAGGGTCCCGGTGTCCAGCTGAACATCTGAACTTCTACCGGGAAGGAAGTGTCACCTACCGGGTTCAAGGCTGTTTGTTAAAACTGTTCGTCAGGGTTAAAGACAAGGGTGTTCATAAATCGGGGTGCCTCAGCGGTCTGCAAGAAGGTTCGGCCTGTAGTTCGGATGGGTGGGGGACGCATGAAGCTGCCGGGATTTGGGGTTGAATCTCACTTCAAATGCTGCCGACTCCGAGCCTACTATAGGGCATTTGGGGGGCCTGTTCGCGCAACGATTTCTTATCATGTGCGGAATATAGTTCCAACATATGTTCTCGCAAAAGCTTGCTCTCATCAATCAGGCCGATCACTTCAACTTTCAATCCCTCTTCGGGACAGGACCTGTGCCCCTTTCTGTACGGCCTGCGCTGGAACAGCAGCTGGGTGGCGGGTCCGAATGGAGGAGCAGTCCTGAATTTCAGGTATTCAGTGTTTTGGGTCTGAACTTCTAAACCCTCATGTTAAGTGGATTGAGGACCAGGGTACACTTGTGCCAAAAAGCTGGCGTTCATGTTTACCGGAGCCGTCGGTTATGCTGAACGAGACCATTGTAGACTGCACTCCTGTGGAAGGGGCCTATTTGGGGTTCCACGTAAGCTGTACACTCTAATATATGTAGACAGAGTAAGCATAAGGGTACCGAGCTCTTCTACCTCATTGTGGTTTTACTCAACTCCAACGAAATCACTACATTGCATTTATTGGAGCAACACGACACAACAGTTTAGAAGCCCACAGCTAAGGCTTGGGGCCTGCATACGTTGAAGCGCCGAAGCCCGCACCGATCCAGAAAGGGCCCACATTTTGGCCCAGCCCAGCCCAACAAATCATAAGGCAATCCCCAAATTATAGCAAGCACCTACCCAAGGAACTCCAAGACACTTGTTTCGCTCATTATCCCCGCCGCCGAGTAAACTAAACGTCTTCTTCGATGCCTTTTGCGACCGAATCCTGGATAGGACTTACGGGTTTAGGGTGTAGGGCCCTATATACACATCCCTGAAGCCTGCAGACCCCATTTGCAGCCCTCCAGCCTGACTGCAGAGGTTTCGATCCTGTGTCGAACCTTGCAAATCCCACGCCCCTCATGCTCGGAGAACCAAGGCCCTTACAGACTTCCAAGTTACTGGCCGGGTGGTGGATCGCATGCCGCAGGCTTCACTCCGCTTCATGTTGCATTCGGTTTGAGGTTTTGGGGCCTGGGGATGTAGGGGTTCAAGGCAACTATACTTTCATATCTCGTTTGGGTTCGTGGCAAGCATGGATCCTTGCCGGGCTTGAGCGAGTTGCGAGACTCGGGATCACTAGAGACAAGCATCATAAATGTACCCTAAACCTCCAACTCAGAATGACAAAACCCCGAACCCCTGAATCAAACGCTGAAAGGGACGATAAGCCCGAAAATCCCTAAGTGCGCTAAAGAACACTAAGCGAACTCGTCAGGCTTGTTTTAGAACCCTTGGCCAACCCCTGTAGAAGGCTTAGACGCCGTAACACGTAAGACTGGAGTCGGAATACTTAGTCATAGCACACCCTTTATAGTCTCTACATATCAACCCTAGCCAAATTATCAAGGCCGCCATAGTAGTTGCAGTTCAACAACAAATCATACTATTCCTTGGGCACGATTCCTGTTCTACGCATAGCTAGTGTAATTGTTCAGGCCGCTCTTACTTTGAATCTGTGCTGTTATCTTCTAGACCGCTACTAAAAGGGAACCCTTACAGGAACTCAGGCCCCCATAGTAGGGTTTACGCATAGGTTCCATAGTAGTTCCTTTTTGGTACAGGGTTCTAAATATGAACCCCAAGAAGGAACTACTATGGGGCCTATGGGTAGGGTTCCGTTACACGAATTAATACCACGCACGCTCTGCGACCACCCGCTTTGCAGGTCGCCGACTCTGCCGACGATGCGCCTCCTGGGCGGAACATGGTTTGGGTTTAGGGTTCAGGGTTTGGGAGATTTAGGGTGTAGGGTTAAGGAGATTTAGGGTTTATAGGGTGGTTTAGGGTTTAGGGTTTAGTTAGGATTTAGGGTTTGAGGCTTGGTTTTGGCTTAGGGTTTAGGTGGTCTAGGGTTTCGGGTTTGCAGTGAAAGACCGCAGCTGCTCCTTGATCGAGGCTTTAACCGCATACGCCAATATACATACTCACGCAGACACACCCAGAGCATATATATATATATATATGTATATATATATACACATGTAAACATAAACATGAGTGTACACATGCATGTATACCTGCCCATATACATATATTTATTATGGATCGATGCTTGTATGGGTATGTACGAATATATGTGCGCATGTATGTATGTATGTATGTATGTATGTATGTATGTATGTATGGATGCATGTATGTATGTATGTATGTATGTATGTATGTATGTATGCATTGATGTATGTATGTATGTATGTATGTATGTATGTATATATTGGGTTCAGCCGGGCCCCACTAACAGTCCACAAATGGCATTAAGAGCAATCATACACCAACGAGTAAGCACCAGCCAACCTAATCAAACTCACCTGCCTCAGTACCACCCAAACACCCAGTAATCCAGCACCACCGCCCACCACTGACCAGTTCAGTACCCACCACCCAGCACCCCCAACACCAGCCCCATCACCAGTGCCCAGCCAACCACACCACCGAGCACCAGCACCCAGCACCAAGCAGCCAGCAGCACCACCAACCACACCACCCAGGATCCAGCGCACCCACCACCCACCAACCCACCACACACACCGCTGCCCACCACACCCACCACAAGCCACCACAACCACCACCCCACCACACACACCGCTGCTCACCACACACATTGGGTTTGAGTTCATTGAGATCCTTGGCACTACTTCGCCGGGCCACGCCAGCTTCAGCGAACAATTTTGCTTGCAGTTCTTCGCCTGGCAGCCCGGACTCGTAGGACAAAGTTTCAAGCGAGGTAGAAGCTTGAGCGTATCCCAGGTGGCAGGCTTGCAGCACGTGCTGTTGGGCTGTTGCATCGCGGCGGCGTGACGGTTCGAGGGTAGTGGGTCGGACACTGCGTAGTGTTTCGCCCTGCCGAAGCAGCCACGGCGGCTACAGGCGAGCTTTGGCGCTGCAGTCTTGCTCCAAGGTCACGGTGTCTCGAATTGGAGAGCAAAGCGTTTTTCATGTTGCTCATGTCAATCACGTAAGGAAAAACAAGCCCCCCGAAAAGCCAAAACAAGCACCCCGAAAAGTACAATCATGAGCACAATAAAAGCACCCCGAAAAGCACAATCACGAGCACACAAAAAACAGCACCCCGAAAAGCACAATCATGAGCACAATAAAGGCACCCCGAAAAGCACAATCATGAGCACAAAAAAACACCCCGAAAAGCACAATCATGAGCACAATAAAGGCACCCCGAAAAGCACAGTCATGAGCACAAAAAAGCACCCCGAAAAGCACAATCATGAGCACAAAAACAACACTCCGAAAAGCACAATCATGAGCGCACAAAAGAAGCACCCCGAAAAGCACAAACAAAAACATATGATTGCAAAAAAAAGCACCCCGAAAAGCACAAGATCCATGGTTTCCCTGGATCCAGGGCTGCCTTCTTAAATTGTTTAGGAAGGCCAGTGAGGACAGTAGCTCAGCACTCCCTGGTACGGCCACCCGGCTGGCTGCCGCCCGGGCAGCAACAAAAAAAACACGTTAGTCACGTTAGTGTGGCCCGCTCCAAGCCCCCGCGTCCCTCTCCCATCCCCAAAACGCCCAAGCTGTGCGAAGGAGATTTTTTTCTAGGGTTGTTGTTTCCAGGGTCCCTGGTTATGATCCTGATTTAGCCTACAGAGTCTAGACAGCGCAACATTATCAAGCTTTCTTGAAGTTTCGATACCTTCGTTTACTGAAATTTGATGCCATGCTTTTATTTCATAGCTGGCATCCGTTGCTCAACCGATCACCCACAAGAGCAACCAGCTAGCCGCTTCATGCTTCAGTGCATTCATGACGTGCGAAAATTCGGCGCGAACGAGATGCCAAGTAGGAGCAAATTAGGCGCAAACTATGGAGACTCGAAAAAGGTACCTAAACAAACGGTGATACCGATAACTTACCCACCCACCCATCCACCCACCACATATCTATCCCCAAAGACAACAAACACAGCTTCCCCAGTCCCAGGCCCTGCGTAAATATGTGTAGCTTTCAATGGCCACTGATCCTCATGTTGCAGAAGTCTGGAGGTATGATCATGAAAAGTCCATTATTTCAACATTCCTCTGTTTTTTTTGTGCGTGTGTTCGAACTGTTCGTGGTCACTGTTGGTGTGGCCCGGCTGGTCCCAGTGTATATACATATATTCACATACTCATGTGCTTACAGGTCAGAGGGTGTAGTCTTGAGTTCCATTGGCCCAAGCACACGTAAGAATAAGAAGATAATACCTTCGGGGTCACAGCCCATGTTTTTTTTGCTGAGCATTTGGAGCTTAACCTGCCAAATAAGGATGTTGTCAGGTTCATGGATCAACCCTAAACCCTAAGGGGCTGGGTGGTACGGCCATTTTGGCTCAAGCCATTTTGG